TTATACGGCACCATTTCCTCACTTTCCTTTTGAGGTTTTTTGAAATTGTCCTGGTTTATCTCTTCTACTTTCCATTTCATTATCTCTTTGCCTTTTACTACTCCACAGTCTCCCAGTTGTTCCTCTCAATTTGTGCCTCGATGCCATGATCTTCTGGCTCTCTCCTCCTTTACGTTTGTATAGTATTTAAATCCTCCACTATATACTGGAACATTTTACTCTTAAAACAGGAGTTGCGGTTAATTCCGCCTATTGGGAGATCTCTTGGAGTTGAGGGTATTACCATATCAGACTCCAAGTTTACTGGAAGTGTGAGGCGACTGCACGATCATTATATGTCTAATGGCTAAAAATAGTTCACACCATTAATTGTGGTCTGAAAACTCCAAGTCCTGATTTATCCTATTTCAATAGTACTTAAACCAGATTTCAAAAAAGGATGAAGTTTAAGTTTTTATCCATTCTTCTGACCAATCTCAGTAAACAGGAAAAAGTAACTTTTGATGAATGATTTACAATTTGACCAACATGATTCGCAAACAGTGAGCACAATATCCTTAAATGGCTTTGATTTCATGTTTATTGAGTATTGATGCTGTGAAGGTCAGGTTAGTATTACAGAGATTGGCTAGGGATTATCACTTATTGCAGAAACAGGGATCTGTAATGTATTAAACGCTCATACCTTACGGGAAATGAAGCTGTCATTAATGTAATTATATCTGCGCTCTGGAAAAAAATGGTTAACATGATCTCCTTATGACATTACTAGGAAATCATTGACATTCTATTAATAATCTGCTGTTGATGGTCTGGGATAGGTTTGCACCAATTAAGATTATTGTCTTCCCCAGAACATCATTAGTATTGGTGAGCTTTCTATTAAACTTTCTATTGGCTAACTAGAGCAGTAAAATTAAAAGAAGAGACCTATAGTACTGCCAAATAGAACAGTAAACCAGAGGATTGGGAGGGCTTCAGAGACCAACAAAGAAAAACTAAGAAACTGATTAGAAGGGAGAAAATGGATTATAAGGGCAAACTAGCTAGGAACATAAAGACAGAGTTAAGATTTTTTACAAATACATAAAGAGGAAGAGACTATCAAAAGTGAATGTGGGTCCATTACAGGCAGAGACAGGAGGAATTATAATGGGGGATAAAGATATGGCAGAGTCATTAAACAAATACTTTGCTTCTGTCTTCACGTTAGGAGACACTGAGAACTTACCAAAAATAGAGGGGAACCAAGAAGCTAATGTTAGTGAGCAATTTAGGGAAATTAACATCAGTAAAGATTTAGTACTAGAGAAACTGTTGGGATTGAAAAATGACAAATGCCCTGGACCTGATGGTCTGCATCCTTGGGTTTTAAAAGAGGTGCTGAGATGGTGGATGCCTTGTTTTTGATCTTCCAAAATTCTCTGGATTCTCAAACAGTTCCCATTGATTGGAAGATCGCAAACGTAACACCACTATTTAAGAAGGGTGGGAGAGAGAAGATGGGGAACTATAGACCAGTTAGTCTGACATCGGTGGTAGGGAAAATTCTAGAATTCTTAATTGGGGATACCGTAGTGGGGTACTTAGAAGACCATAACATGATTAGGCAGAGTTAATATGGCTTTACAAAAGGGAAGTCATGCTTAACAAATCTTTTAGAGTTCTTTGAGGATGTCACCAGCAGGTTAGATCGGGGGGAATCAGTAGATGTAGTGCATTTAGATTTTCAGAAGGCATTCAACAAGGTGCCATATAAAAGGCTGCTACACAAGATTAGGGCCCATGGAATTAAAGGCAATATATTAGCATGGATCGAAGAGTGGCTAACGGGAAGAAAATAGAGAGTAGGGATAAATGGGTCCTTCTCAGATTGGCAAGATGCGACTAGTGGAGTGCCACATGGATGAGTGCGTGGGCCTCAACTACTTACAATCTATACCAATGATCTAGACAAGGACATAGAACTTAAAATATCTAAATTCGCGGATGATACTAAGCTAGGTGGGAGAGTAAGCTCTGAGAATGACACAAAAAAATTGCAAAGGGATATAGGCAGGCTTGGTGAGTGGGCAAGAAGGTGGCAGATGGAATATAACGTGGGGAAGTGTGAAGTTATTCACCTAGGTAGTAAAAACAGAAAAGCAGATTATTTTCTAGAAGGGGAGAGACTAGATAGTGTTAGTGTTCAGAGGGATTTGAATGTTCTTGTACACCAGTCACAAAATGTTAGCATGCAGTTACAACAAGCAACTAGGAAGGCTAATGGCATGTTGGCATTTATTGCAAAAGGGTTAGAATATAAGAGTAGGAAAGTCTGCTGCAACTGTTCAGGACCTTGGTGAGACCGCACCTAGAATATTGTGTTCAATTTTGGTCTCCTTATTTAAGAAAGGATATACTCGCCTTAGAAGGTGTGCAGCATACATTCACTAGGTTAGTTCCTGGGATGCGGAGGTTGACCTATGAGGATAGGTTGAGTAAACTAGGCCTATATTCTCTAGAATATAGACGAATTAGGGATGATCTTATAGAAACATATAAGATTCTTATGGGGCTTGATGGAGTAGACAGTGTGAGACTGTTTCCCCTGGTAGGAGAATCTATAACCAGGGGTCACAGTCTTAAGATTAAGGGTCAGCCTTTTCAAACACAGTTGAGGAAACACTTCTTCACTCAGAAGGCTGTAGATGTTCAGTCCTTGAACATATTCAAGACTGAAATTGATAGATTTCTAAAGGATAGAGGAATTAAGAGTATGGGGATAAGGCGGGCAGATAGAATTAGGTTAGAAGATTAGCCATGATCTTATTGAATGGTGGTGTAGCCTCGAGGAGTCAAATGGCCAATCCTGCTCCTAATTCCAATGTTTCTATTCTTTGAATTGATATAGATTGCTCACTGACAGGAACTCTTTCTTGGTGTCTTCTTTAGATCCATTACAAAACTTGAGCTGTTAGGTATATGCAGCAGCTGCTCTTTCAAACAGAGTTCCAGTTGCAGTCTATGAAAAATATTTTGCCTCTGCCTTTTCTGTAAGAAAAGACGGAAATGTTGGATTATGGTAACTCTATATTTTCAAAATATGTAAAAATGTTAAACTTCTGCTGCAACATTTGAGCGTGGCACATGATCTTTGAACCTTTTGGAAGGGAGTTAATGCAAAATAGGTGCAACCTTTATGTTCCACCCCCCACCCCCCCCCCCCCAATCCTAGTCACTTTTAAAGATATTTTGTACATTTTCCCCTTTGGATTTTTACAACTATTTGACCAGGTCAAATATCTTCCTCGAGACTTGGAGGCCATGCTCATTGATGTAAGGGGTCTGTAATGTGATACTTGTAAATTGAAGTCGGACTCAATAAGAATTCCACTTTTCGAATATTGGAATCCCACTTAATCCACTATATAAACTGAACAGTCACACTTTGGGCTTATACTCTATGTGTTAAGAAATAAAATGTCTATTTTTCTTGCAACTAGAACTGCTGTACTATAGAAATAATAAATATTACAGTAATAAATCTTTTTTCAGTCTTTGATGTTAATTGCATTGCTTTTAGGAAACTGGCACACTGTCTTAATACCTCCAGGATCTTGTCTTTAATTCAAGCCCAGCATTAGTCACACTCCTCTCTCTCTCTCGGTCAAATCCTGTACTAACTGCTAGGCGTTCGGCAGAGTAAAAGAGCTTTGTTCTGTATCGGACCTGCTACATCTGACCTGAGAGTGAATAGTGCTGACACTGAGTAGCCAGAGATGAGAAATATTCCTTTCTTCACCATCACATTCATGAACTGTAAAGATTTCCTCAAATATATATAATGTTTCTAAAAACAGAAAGTGACGAGCCTTTTAGAAACTTAAAATGCTTTTTTAAATTCACATGAAGGTTGATTTGTGATCTGCGAGTGCTGCACACATATTAAATATCCTATAGCACAATTCAAAAAGAGAATAGAGTTTCCCCTAGTATCTTCCCGATAAAATTGTTCATTCACTTCATGGCTGTTTTGGGGAAATCACTGTGTCCAAATTGGCTGCCTTATTCACCTGCAAATATGCAATAAATTCTGCAAAGCACTTTGAAACATTTTGACAACATGATAAGGCACTATATCAAATGGAAACTTTATTTATTATAATACATTTATTGCTAATTGGAGAACAACCTCCATACAATGCATTGTGTTGCCTTGCTTTGAGTTGGCAGTGAGTTTTCTGTTTATTAGAAATGTGTGGGGTGATTTAAGATCAATGTGAACGTCCATTGTTCTCTCATTGGAAGATTTACTGTCAGAATATCGGAGATGGTTAGGAAATCCAGGTGAAACTTTGAATTTATCTAAGCTTGGAACTGAGCCACAAATTAGATTTATCAGGCATGAGCTGGAACTTTTATTTTTAAGGTTGTAATGCAATAGATTTGGAGCTAAGCCAGCTTTTCACTTTGCTTCCGAGCTGATGGAAAGAACAGCAGTTGTAGGTGCTTTTGCACTCAGCGGGAGACCATTTTTTCTCTACCCTGCTGTTAAATACTCCATCTGTCTGTCTATTTAGATTTAGCCTGCATTTGATAGGAAGTTGCTCACTGGTCATTGCATTTTAATGCCTGTCTGGTCATATGTCTATTTAGATTTCTTTCCTAGTTCAGTGGGAGGCCCTTAATGATCAGTGTGGTTCAGTGCCTGTCTATCTGTTTTTGTTGGCTTGTACATCTGTTACACACATATATACTATACAGATAATATATATACATGTCTGGTATATATGTCTGCTTTTCTGGATATCTATTTCTAAATGTCCGAGTGCTTTTGTCAGTCTTTGTGTCAAGACACACATCTTAATTTTACATTATTTTGACTTTTCTTTACTGTTCTCGACTGTGTCTGTGTCTATTTCTTAAATTCACTTAAAGACAATAAGCTACAGGGGATGGGGAAAGGGCAGGTAAATGGACCGGAAAGGATTGCTCTTAAAAGAGCCAGGACAGACACGATGGGCCGAATGGCTTCCTTCGGTGCAGTAAATTTCGATGGTTTCATGGTTCTATCCATTAATTGCCCACACATAGAATTCCACAGATCGGATCAAATAAAGGTGCTGATCTGGTACAATAGAGTTGTGGGAAGTAGGTTGATGCCCTATACCCCTGATCTTCACCATATAGTTTCACCCACAAAATATACAGTCAATTCATTTTACCTTATATTCTGTGAAGCACTTTGAGACATCTCAAAGACATGATATGGCATTATATCAAATAAAATGCAAGGATTACATAAGGAGAAGCATAACTTCCTTACTGGGACAATACCAGGCACTTGAAGCATAGGGGAAAATTAGGAAAGTCACCCTGCTCGCTCTCGCATTCCTTTGAGTCACAGGCTACAAGCAGTATTGTTGGAGTGCTGGAAAATAATGGGAGGTCTGCCCTCAAGCAAATTATGTACAAAGAATCAGATAAAGGAATGATTAGCTACTACGTGACAAGTTTTCTACAATATGAGTCAATAAGAGCATGTATTGCACTGCACAACCTTATTGCTCACTGAAACACAAGGGCTGATATTTGAGACCAGGACATAATTTAATTTTTCTGAATTACTGTTGGGTACGGATACCCAGATTGGAATGCTACAAATGTCTACACTAGAATTAAATAAATTTAAGTGTTTGTGCAGTTGAGTCTGATTTTAAAACCCATAGTAATGCATTCCAAGATAACATCCCTTTACACTTCAATGATCGTTTCTCTACCAGATGTTATCTTTGCTCTAATGGGTTTCTCTTTTCACTGTGCATGTTTCTTCTTGCACCAGGTATTGCTGATAATCTCTTCCTTCAAATTGTGTTGCAGACAAACACATGTGAAGATGACAACAAGATTACATTTAATGACACTACAAGCACAGTTTTTTAAAAGTAATGGCACATATCTGGCTGGACTGGGTGATGCTTGGTGTTTGTACGCATTTCTAACCGTTCACCATTGAGACCTGGGTTTGACTCACATAAGCAATGTGTCTTGTATTGAAAATCTAAAATGTATGTTTTTTTCTCTTCCTCTTTCTCACATACTTGCTTTCCCTCCTCTGTTCAGTGGCCCTTGGTCTGTACTTCCCCAGAAAGACATACCAAGCAACTGTGCATGTTGGCCAGCCAGCAGATACCCCTCTCCTGCAGATTTATGCCTTACCTGAGGAAGAGGATACTGCTGTTTATTTTGGGTTCTGCTACAATCCACTGCTCATTGGATTACGTGAGCACTGGTTCCGAATTGATGAGAAATCTGGAGTCTTCTACCTTAATAAAACCCTAGAAGAAAATGACCTCAGTCTACTAGGTAAGTGCTTTCCTTTCTGTTGTGTTATACATGATGATGTCATTATCATGTGATGTTCTCATATTTATTGATAGTTCCATCATCATGTCACATTATTATTAATATTACAGAAACTACAGTGAAACTTGTTTTAATAAAATGACATCTCGAGTTTTAAAAATAAACCAACTGTATCAATAAAAAACAGTAGAATATAGTTCATATTCCACTCATTGTTCTGTTCTAACTCGCTCATGACATTATTGCCCTTGACCAACTGGTTAACCCATTGTAAGATTGGCATGGACAGAGGTATGTAGTCTCATTTCGCTTTGTTGAGACCCTTCAGTTGTCTAGAGATATTTGCTGGAATGGAATATGCACTCTCTCCCTGGAGGGACACATGCTGTTTACCTAATTCCAGAAAGTGTTAGCTGTAGGTTTGCAAAAGCCAAGGCTTGGGGACCCCAGACTGTGCGTTGGGGTACTGCTGGAGGCTAACTAGCTAAAACTGCAAAACTTCCCATTGAGGCACTGACTGGCAAGCTTTCCTTCTGCTTGTCCACCTTGGATCACCCTACCTGTTAGGGCTTTGGCTTGCAGGAGGTGAGTGCGAAGAGTCCTTGCGATCGGTCTGCCTTTCCAAGTCTTGGCGATGAGCCAGCCTGGAATCAGCAGTGTCCTGAATACTGCAGGGCAGACTACTGCCACCTGGCTTAGGAACTGGACCGAGACTGCCACAGAGGGATGGCTTGATTCCATGATACTGTTGCCAAACATGCTACTTTGGAGTTAAGCTCCAAGGAGACCCCGCTTAACCAACCCTCCCCACCCCCCGGGGGGAAGTTTCCAAACTGTGTCGTGCATTTGAGGATATGATGGGTCCTATACCAGTTTCTATTCAGTATTTCTCCTGTTCTGACTTCACATTTTCCAAATAAAGTTGCCTGGAATTGTTCACACGATGATCAAACACATGGGATAATAGTGAACATTTTTGAGACAGTGCTGGGATAATTTCTTTTTGTGTTCCTTCTGTTCCAGGTAACATGGGTGGCCCTGACTTATTTAAGGTTATAGTGCACATCTTTGTCTCTCCCAAACCATTTGTGGAGATGGAGTGCAAGGCACAGGTGATAATTATTGTGGTGAATAAGGTCATGCCTCCCTGTGCAAATATCACCATTGAAGATCTGTGTTTTGGAGAAATGGATTCAAAGGTTCAAATTATAGAGAACAAGTACCCTGGCCTGTTCTTTCAAATGAGATCCCTGCCAAACCAGTTCCAGTGCCAACCGGGCAACATCTCCTACCATCTAACAACAGGTAAAACACTAAAGATGGAGAGAGCAAGGGATGGGATGGGTAAAATTCTGAAGTCATGGCAATGAGACCTACAGTTTCTCATTTAGAATGAAAAATGTAACAATTTATGATAGATTCAATGTGATTATCATGTGAAATTATGAAATATTACATTACAGTACATCCATTTTGTGTTACTTGCCTAAGCTAAGTCATCAATCTGAGATTTTAATAGGAGGCCAGCTACTTCTACAGTTTTTTTGTATTTAATCATCGTTCCGAGCAGATTTTCTAGAAATATGAGACTTTTCACTTTCATGTGATTACTTCTGTGGTTCCATTTTGCTTTCTGTGGTTGTTAAACTTATTTTAAAGATACAGTGCTTCATTTATATTTCATATCATTTGATTCTTTTGTGTCTTTTCCTGCTTTATCTGCCTGGACTGTACTCTGGCCTTGAGGCTGGCAAGCAAGCTACTCACTAGCCCGCTGCCCTGTAATTAGTCATCAAGACTGCAGCGCAAATGGTGGGCAATATTCTCTTCATATAGTGTTGCATTTACATGTATGACTTGAATCCATTCATCTTTCAGATGGTTCATTTCCATTCAGAATTAATGAGGAGACGTCAGAGCTCAGTGTGGAGCGTTCACTTGACAGGGAGGTGATGGAAACATATGAAATGATTGTAAAATGTACATGGCGGAAGGAATTCCAGGTGGTTCACATTGAGAGAGCCTTGCATGTGACTGTGCTTGATAAAGGTGACAACCCTCCATTTCTCCTTGATGGCAACGACACGGTGGAGGCTGTCATTGAATTCAACAGGAACGAGGTAGGATTTTGAATGCGATCCATATGAGACATAGATTTGGATGTCTGTCCATGTTTATAACAGCATAATAATAATAATAATAATAATCCTTGCATTTGATATAGCGCTTTTCACGTCGGGAGGACGTCCCAAAGCGCTTCACAGAACACACTGTAAAGTGAATTGACTGTATATTTGTGGGCGAACGTGGCAGCCAATTGCGCACAGCAATGTCCCACAAACAGTCGTAGATTGAAAATGACCAATTTATTATTGTTTTTGGTTTTGAAGGATTATTATTATTATTAGGGATTATTGTGATTTTAAGATTTTAAACAAAAAATAAGTGTTTGCAGGGTAAATTCTAAGAATTCAGTCATGTCTGGGACTACATAAATCATGTGTATCGCCTTGTTGAAAGCGAAGGAAGAAAAGCAAATAAAATTCTTAACCTATATAATTCATATTCCTAATCTATTGTATTGAAGGGGTAAGCAAATCATTTTAGGCTAACCTCAAACTTTATATGTATCCAGTTTTGGATGATTTGACATGCTCCTTTAAAATGGTGGCGTATATGCCTAGATAATGATGGTAACAACAATAATCCTTACTTCTTCCATAGTGCCTTTCATATCTGGAGGACGTCTCAATACGTTTCACAGGATGTATTTTAAAGTGGAGTGACCATGTTGTTTGTCTGTGTTCGGGTCTTGTGGGTGTAGATGAAGAAAGGTTTCCTTTACCTCGTATTTGTTGTCATTTTGCATCTTTTATATTTAGTTTCCTGTTTTTCTGTTACCTGATACTTGATTCCAATTTATAGGTTGAGCCACAGAAATAAAGCGATTTTAGTTGTTCCAGGACAGAATTCTTCCTTGTTCTTTATCAGAGATGAACCAGGAAAAACTGAAGCACTTGGAAATATAGAAATGTATTGTCTCTTAGAGCATGATAGTTCACCTTTACATTTAAAAAAATACATATGTTTGGTCCTGGTCTTTGAGCATTTTTATATTTTTTGATTGCGTTTATTAACCAGGAACATGTCTGCTTTAGGTCACATTTGGAATCCAATTCATTACTCTGCTGTACATGTCCACAACACTGTAAAATGTCATCCTAACTTCTATTATTAACACATGAGTAAGAATTGTCCAATAGTTAGCAATTTCACCTTTTTGTATTCATGGTATTGAGCGTTTAGAGGTTTTGTTTTGATAGAAGTGCAGCTATCGATCAAATATCGCCGTTGCAGGATGTTGAGACGTTTTGTGGTATAAAAGTTCAGATCAGATAGTTTCATCAGTAGATTTTTTACAACATTTTAATGCTGCATTTGGGCATTATTTAAAGACTTGCACACTTTAATGAAGGCACATTTCTTGTTTACAGCACAATGTCGTGGCCACAATCCTGGTGTATGATGCTGACAGTACCACTCAATACATGACGACAATCATGAAAAATGATACTTGGATTACAGAAAACTTCAGAGTGGAACATAGACCTTTCGAAATTCCTGCCACTCAAGAGAGCCCTGCTCGAGGGACAATAAACAAATATGGTAAGCTTCTCCACATTCTCTTGGCATGACCTAATTTATTTCTAACCCCCACCATCTTTTTCTTTGTAAATTTCAGAGATGTAGGTCATCATTTAACCAGAAAAGCTTTAAGTCGGACACAAATTAAATAACTGAATAGATAGGCCAAAAAGCATGTTTTAAAAAAAAGAGAATAAAGGAATGAGTCTCACGAAAATTTCTAGGATTTCCAAACTTTCAAAATTTATACAGGAAAATTGGTGGTGTCTCGAAAGCTCACACTCATTTCAAGCTGAATTACAGCATAATGCTGTTACGCCTGGTAGCTATTCTTCATTTTCCTTGGTGAGATCATTTAAATAGGTGTTCCATTATATTTTGACACTCTCCTCGGGCTTTTTCCTGAAAGAAGACAGTAAACAACTAAACACGTTTATCAAAAATATAGCCAAAAGAGCAGAAATAGAGTCCAGTCATTGACAGTCTTAAATTCTCATTTTTGATATGTTGAGCGTCCACCATATATGATTCAGAGATAAATGTGTTTGTAGATAATTTGCTTCATGGAGAGGTGAGTGAAAATGAAAATAAGATCAATCAATAGATGGTTATTTCCAGAGAAGTGAATGGATTGATTGATGGTTATTTCTACAGAAGAGAATGAATTGATTGATATATAGAAGATGGCTAAGAAACTGTGTGAATGTCAGATAGATAGATAGATAGATAGATAGATAGATAGATAGATAGATAGATAGATAGATAGATAGATAGATAGATAGATAGATAGATAGATAGATAGATAGATAGATAGATAGATAGATAGATAGATAGATAGATAGATAGATAGATAGATAGATAGATAGATAGATAGATAGATAGATAGATAGATAGATAGATATAGATAGATAGATAGATAGATAGATAGATAGATAGATAGATAGATAGATAGATAGATAGATAGATAGATAGATAGATAGATAGATAGATAGATAGATAGATAGATAGATAGATAGATAGATAGATAGATAGATAGATAGATAGAAGATGGATGGTCTCACCAATAGGCAGACAAAAATACAGTAGATTAATAGATAGACTTAAATGAGACATCTTCTGTGGAGAATTGGAAAGTCAAATGGGGACAGTCAGGTAGATTTATGTCACCAGTGTTTTATGAGGTTAAAGTATACACAAAAGACAATAGTGAATGGATGGGTTGAAGGGTAAGGATGGACAAATGAACAAATCGATAGATAATGCTAGGATGGACTGAAGAATAACTGGGACAAAATGAGATATATTGATGTGGAAATCATTTCAAAAGTATGAAACAAATCAAGATCATTCAATTCATTAAACCTACTACTGTACTTGCAACAAACGTATTCTAATTTTCACTATCATCGACTCTTAGAATATTTAAACTCTGAACCTTCCAAGAAGAGAGTTCTGTGAAATTGTTCGTTGATCTTTTACCTTTAATTGGATGGATGAATAAATATATAGATATCTAAACAAATATGTAGAAAACTAGATTTGAAATAACAATATGTGCTCTTCATCTGATTGTTGCTATAACGGTTTCTGAATGTTTTATTCAGAGCTGATACTGAAGAAAAACCTGTCTCTTTCTGAGAACCGATCATTCAGTTTGGACGTCCTTGTGCACGACACAGAATACCAAGGCTCTGAGAGCACTGTCACACTTCACTTCAATATCACTATCCGGCTAATCATCATTGAGTTTTCTGAAGAAACGATCCACTTCACATGTAATAGGAATGCAGGACGTTTTGCAAAGGTAACATTATTTTTTCGAGGGGTGGTGCCTCGAAAGTACCTGAGCAGATTCAAAGGCAACATTTGAGTCTTTGATGAAATATAATAAACTAAAATAATCTGATACAATGGGCCTTAAGTAAAGCACTGTGTGTGACGGCACTTCTGAGACACAGGTTTAGTTTCGAACAGGCAGCAGACAGCCAGGGAGGATTAAAGTTTTTTTTCTCGATTAATAATTTTTATTATCTTGGTTGAATTAGATAATAATAATTTGTATTTTGCTGCATTGGTAATAAACAAATGTCTCAAAGCATTTTCCGAAATACGATTGATTAGGAATGAAGTGAAAGCTGCTATATAGATAAACATGGCAGCAATGCTCTATAAACAAAAATGAAATAATTAGCCAATTAATTTGAAAATTTAGGAGGGATTGGGAATGCAACCAAGTTAACTGGGAGAAAGACGCCACGTGTCATGATGCCCTGAAATAGATTAACACATGGTCCTTCATTAGCCTTTTCAATTATATGTGTTACAGATTGGAAGAATTTGCATAGCAAACTGTCACAAGTTTCAAGCCTTAAATCTAACTTATACATTAATGCCGGTGATCCATGCAGAAGAGAATGGGAATGCCACACAGGTGGACAGAAGCTGCTTTTCCCTGGTTGGGGTTGTGAAGCAACCTGAGGATATATTTGGAATCCTGTACATTTCTGAATCTAAAGTGCTGAGATGGAACAACTGCAGCAAACTTCACTTTACCGTCATAGCTAATGAATTACTGAGCAAGGAGGAGACAAAGACCAACATGGTTGTTACGTTGGAGGGAACACGTATGTACTGTTGGTTTTGGTATTGGTCTGCATGCCTGAGGGAGAAGGGAATGGACAGATATGAGAGAGATTAGGAGGGGTGTAGTCTCATGTAGGGTGTAAACACAGGCATGGACTAGTTGGGCTGAATGCCTTGCTTCTGTGCTGTACAGTTGATATAATTCTATGTAATCTCTGTCTCATTTCCCTCCATCTCTTCCTTTATCAGAAATTCATTGCAGTGTGACTGGGCTGGAGTGTTTATAAGTATAATGAGTGTTTGGAGTATAATTGTGGTTCTAGTTTTGTGCTTAGAGGCAAACTTCTAAAATAAAGACAGACCTTGTTAATGGTGATGGTGGTGGTAAGAGAGGCAGGCTGGGGGATGTAGAGGGAACTTTGATCTTTACTTAACTAATCCTCTACCTGACTTGGAAATGCTTGCTTAATGGATAATATAATCGGTAAGCCTATTCAGCTGCTGATCTTGGACCTTAGCCAAGTTATTCAGAACAGGTTTGTGCAAAATTGCCATCCTGTTTTCCGTATATCAAACTTGAACAGTTCATCCGCAGACTATGCACTTACTGCCAAAAGCTAAAACAGATCAGTTCTGCATAGAATGCAGTCTTAATAGTTTATTCCTTGTACTTGTGACAGTGACTGTGAACATAGTACAAAAATTCAGGCAACAGTAGGGATTGATCCATCTGGTGCATTGGGCAACAAAAGTAATAATGGCTATATTCACTCATACATTTCTGCAGGAACTGTTACTGCCAACATTTCATGAATAGAATGATTTAAATGAATTTTGTCAATGCTTTTCCTCCAGTAATTGGCCTTCTAAATCCTCAATGTATGAGTTACATTTCTCACCTAACAAAGTTGTCTTTGTTTCACTTTCCTCTCCTCATCTAAACAGATCTATTTTCCTCTCTGGCCAGATCAAATTTTCGCTATGGTTACAAAAGATTGTTTGTCCATGGGTTAATTTGGCCAGTTAATCAATATGAGCAGGGAGACAGGTGTGAGAGGAAGGATGATTTGATCAGATGTGAAGGATGGTATTTAAGCACTGTGAGAGGATATTTGACTCAATTTATCACCAAGTATCGTTATTGTTGCTTCCTATCTATCCTCACTTTCACCATGATCCCATACTATGTGTGCTGACCTAACTTCTTAACCCAAACTGACAATAGTCTGCCCATTTTCTTCACATGAACCTTATGTGTGTTTTTTTTTACTTTGAACCCCATGGGTTTGGTTTGTAATGTGCGATTTTGCCTCTTACAAGTTTCTATTGTGCTGACTGAATTTCTTACATCTTTGGCAGTCAAAGCAGTACCAAAGGTAATCTTAATAAAAAGTGATTTTAGCTGGAGCAATAACAGCCCCCAGATATAATGGCCATGAATACTAATTGGACAATGCAATGATTATATAACAAAGAACTTATCTCCTAGCTGGTACCCGCTGACAAAATCAAGAGTAAGTTTCAACTGGCCTTGAAGGTACGTGGAAATAACATGCCATGATTTCTACCTTCACCCAGATACTCATGTTAGAAGGCATAACTGTGGCAAACACTGTGCTGAGCACAAGTTGCGATCAGTCTGTGAAGAATGTAGCGGTATTGGAACCCAAGATGGAAAGTGCCAGTGGCGGCAGGGGTATGATAAAGGTAAGAATCTCCTGCAATTATTTGGTGTACCATGTTTTATTTTTCATGCCAGCTTTTATGTTCCTAAATACGGNATAGGATTAAACAACAGCAGGGAATTAACTGGATCCAGGCAATTACAATGTAAATATTTCATATCCAGGTTCACCTTGATTATGATCTCAATATCTTAAACAGTACTGTACAAATTAACCTGCGGCTGTCTTTACAATTCCCTAGCAAATGTGCATTCATAAAAGTATAAATTATTATAATAATAATGTAGAGCCTAAAGTGATTATTGTCTTTACGGAAGAAATCAAGGCTCAGTCCTGGCTTATCTTTAGCTCCTCTACAATTATTAGAAACATTTTTTCCAGAATTAACACACTGGGTTCCATCACATGCCAATTGTTAACACTAGCTATCTTTTCATTGCATGTCTATAAGCGGAGATTACATTATAACATAACAAAAAGATCATTACTGTTAGTAATTTTTGTGTAAAGACCCCCACATTTCTTGCAAATAAGGTTTTCATGATCCGTAGCTCTTCCAAATGATGCTCTAAGCTACAACTCCAGCTAGTTTACACAGTTCTGTATTTTTCTATTATAGAAACAAGCTTCTTAAGCCTACTGAGAGATTGTCCATTTTCCTTAACCTGGTTTGCAAGACCATAAAATATTTTATTTCTCTCTGCAGGCATATCAAAAAACTACTCCACCTGCTCATCAGATCTTACCACATGTCCTGATAAATACTGTGATATAGTGGAGCAGAAGAGGAGTACGTGCCCACAAGATTGTATTGGTATGTTAACCTCAGCCCATGCTAACATTGGTAAACCTCCAGGCATCTCTTTTGCTTTATGCAGTTGTGAACTATTTCTGAGCTCCATAAAGACAAATATATTATTCATTAATTTAAAAGTATTGTCAGGGTTATCTAATTAGTAACACCATGAGAAGATCTATTATTAAAATGTCTCAACCATCTCTCTCGTGAGCCTGAAACTAAGATTGATGGGCTGGAGCTGTACTTTCAGATGACTACAGACATCTGATTGAGATTCAGTCTCTTTGAAATTCATATTATGGAAATCCAATCCCTCCCCAAATAGAAGGGTGCACAGATGGGTTGCGCCTTTCCAGACTGAAAGATGACCTTTTTTAATGAGAGCCCTAGTTTTTAAATAAACTCGTTGGATCAGCAGCTTGCAGATAACTATGTCTAGATGATACACACAGGGCAAACAATATACAAGGGGTCTTAGCTCTGGTGTACAAGTTTTCCTGTTCTGGTTTAATGTACCAACTGAAGCTTCTTGCATTCATCACCCTTTGTATCTCAAGGGCATTCTTCACCAGCTATAGTTGAAAGACAGGGAGAGCTACCTTTTCTCCACCAATATTGATAGAATGTGCTGAGGAACAGCCCATGGATCATTCAATCTAGGCCTTACCCCTTCTGAGTTTCCCTCCCATATGCAGAAGGGGTGCACCTGGCTTCCCCAAAGCACCTCACCAATGTGCATGACATTGAGAACTCTTAATTAAGGCCGCTTGAATGTTCAGCGCACTAGATAGGAGATTTCCTTCCATGGAAAATGACATAAGAATAACCATTGGATTATTTTCAGGATCAATCAGTAATGAGAGAATTCCAGCAGGAAGATGAATTTGGGGAAAATATTCTGACAAGTTCTTATCTTGTGCCCTATATTCTATTCATGCAGTTCGGAAGAAAATTGTTGGCGGATTTGAATTAGGAGAGGTGAGAGGAATCGAAGGAGGATTTGGGACGTGTTATTGCAATTCTGGCAAATGTTTCTGCCAAAAGGAAGATGTCATAGGTAAGTTCATGATTTGAATCTTTTCAGTGACATGTTTACTTCCGCATAGGTGAAGATGAAACGTTTCACAAAACTGTGAGAAAGAAGATACCAACTATTCGGCATTAAAATGATCTATTTTATCCTGATTCTACAACTCCCAGATTGTAATCACTATTGAATGGTTACACTGTGGAATTGTAGAAGGCAATTGATCCAAGTCTTAGATAGGGTACAGATGGTGTGTGCCTCTGTATCAAACTGAATGAGGATATATTACTTTGGTTTGAGACAAGAGAAACTACAGATAATCTGCAGGAATTCTCATTCTCAACCATATTGTCGGGGGAGGTGCTCATCACAGAAAAGATACTTTCCCATAGGGAATGGAGAAAATTGGAAAGGATGTCAACTTGGGCTACTGTCATCTCCCTTATTAGCAGTGATTTGGCCTCTCAGTTGGCAACTAATGCCTGAGAAACCCTTGAAAGAGAATGAAGGAAGAGGGTTATCAATTGGATCTTTTGAGTAATAAAGGGAAATGATGCAAACTGAATTGTTTTTGCCTCAACGATCACTAAAGGAAACATCGTGGCGTTTCATTCACAGAATCGACTTGCGACGATGTCTGTAAAACCATCATTGCTGCGGCCGTGCTGCTGTCATTCATCCTGTCCGTACTGCTCTCTTCATACTTCATCCACCGATACCACAAGAATTCTCCCAAAGCTCCTATTGCCTCAGCAGAGATGACTTTCAGGAGGCCAGCTCAAGCCTACCCCATCAGCTACTCCTCCAATAATGTCCGGAGGCCCTCTGTGGATTCCATGGAGAATCAAGTGGCAGTGGACACCTTCAAAATACCAGTATTTGCTATTTGTTGTCTTTTTTGTGAAGCCTTCTAATGATTTATGCATAACATGATCAGCACTGATCACAAATTTGTTTGAATCCACCACTGTATGAATTTGTTTAGCTTTTGCTTCCAACGTATGCTTTCAACATTTCTTTATATCAGAGTTTGAATGCTCATTTCAGAGATCTGTCTATTTCAATCAGTAATTGATTTGCCTTTGATACAAGCTCTTTGTTTGCCACTTATGTTCTTGGAAGACCCTTGATTCCTGGAGAAGCATGCACACAGTCTTCCAATCAATACATTTGGTGGACTCTTCTGTCCATAGTATATTCTGTAATTCATATTTTACACAATCCCTATGTCTTCTCTCCTGTCACTGTGCAGTGTGCATTTTATTTTCTATGAGTCCGTTCGGCCTCACCCTCCTGGCTGTGATGCTGGGATTGCTTTCTAACCTCTGCAGCTGAAACCTGGAAAGATATTTAGAAGTTCCTATTTTTAATTTTGGAAGAGGATTTTAATTGAAAGTTCATGATTTATTTTAGCTTTTGTGAAATAGGATGGCATTTCCCCCTAAATTGCACCAAGTCTACTGCTAGACTGAAGGCATGTGGGGTAAACCCTTCACTTCAGCTGCTTTCTCTTCCTGCCAGGAGGATCCCAAATGGGAGTTTCCAAGGAAGAATCTAGTCCTTGGCAAAACCCTCGGTGAAGGAGAATTTGGGAAAGTCGTGAAGGCTACTGCGTTCAGACTAAAGGGGAAAGCAGGCTACACCACCGTTGCCGTCAAGATGCTGAAAGGTAGGACCCAGTGATTTAGTGCAATATAAATATATGACATTTTTAGATATCTGCAGCCAGTGAACCTTATTAACCGAACTGACAGGTTCTTTTAACAGCCTGCAGCTAAGTATTCTTGCTGGCAGAAATCCAATAGAGCAGTGGAACTTCACTATTGAAGTGCAATTAGCAGACTTCAGCTGAGGAACTATTAATTTGGTGGTCTACTTGTGTAAAGGGACACATGTGCAGGTAAATCGTCACTTTTAATGGCACTCTGACAATGTGCCTGGCAAACTCATATATATTAGCACCAGAGACCAATATATCTTCTTCCACCTACAGTTCCTAGAAATGCAGGGATTTGGTGAGCAAACACACTCCAGCAGATTGTGAACACACTCTTCCTCAGGATATTAATGGAGAGCTAAATCACATTTAATCTTAAAAATAATATGCTTTGGCACTGAAATGATGGTGAAATGGATATACATGAGGCAGGTAATTTTGTCTGAACATCACCATGTTATTTTAAAGAGATATGCACAGAGGGAAAATGAAGCGTTTGTACTGGGCCAAGCTCAGATATTTGCTGCTTTATCCTGAACTGGTCTAATAAATTCTGCTCCTCTATGTATGGGATTCAACTGAATACCCAGCCTACAAAAAGTGTGAGAAGCGTAGGGAGGAAATTGTAGAAACAATTTTGAGAACAACTAACTTAGTCACTTAAAAAAGACATCAAGTATGTTTCATTTTTGGCTCCTAAACTACTTTCTTTCTCTCTCACTCTCGGACAGAGAATGCTTCTCAAAGTGAACTGCGAGATCTCTTATCGGAGTTCAACTTACTGAAACAAGTCAGCCACCCCCACATTATTAAACTCTATGGAGCATGCACTCAAGATGGTAAGAGAATGTTTTTCCTTAGTCGGGATTACACCACGTAGATCAGTGGTTACTGCATGTCACATAAGATAGTATGAAATTGAAACTAACGTGAAGATACTCGGGTAAAGAATAGTTAACACGACTATCAGGTAAAGAATAATAATTGGTATCAATGAGATACCATTGTACCATAGTTATTGTCCAGTCAATTTTTTTTTGAAAACCTATATAAAAGCAGTTATATAGAGTAACTTGATCATTGAAGGGCTACTATTCGCTGGTTCGGGTGGAGACAGAAAATAACTAAAATTCCTCTTGATATAAGAGGAATTAGCTGACTCATTCATTGAAAATATTTCCATTGAAGACTATTTAGGGAGTACTGCATGATTAAAGAAAGAAAACTGAGTGTGATTTACCTTTAAAACTCAACTTGGTTTCAGATTTTTGTTACCTGGTTCAAGTGTCTTCTTGAATATGGAGGCGATCTGAAGTCATTTGAGCTGCAGTGTCGGATTTTTTATTCCAATGATGTGTTCCCTGCCTTTATATGACCTGGAACAGAATGCTAGTTATTAAATGTTGTGTTCTAAGATGAGATTTGTTGGGAAAACTCAATTCCTTTCCATGGCAGGTCCTCTATATCTCATTGTGGAATACGCTAAATATGGATCCCTGAGAAACTTCCTGAGAGAAAGTCGCAAAGTAGGCACCAGTTACCTGGGGGAAGGGAACCGAAATTCTAGTTACTTGGACAATCCAGATGAACGGGCTTTGACCATGGGAGATTTGATATCGTTTGCCTGGCAGATCTCCCGGGGAATGCAATACCTGGCTGAAATGAAGGTCATTATCTATTTCTTTTGTACATTTGAGTGCTCCTGAAGGGGTCAGATGATTAGAGGTTGGATAATATTGTGGGGATTAAAAAATATATTTGTACCAGGCTTTATATATCAGTGTGAAATCTCTTCTCCCACTGCTTAAAAAAGTGATATGGAAAGAGGTTATTAAATCGTGGTGTGGTACTGTCGTGTAGTGTGCAGTGACATTCACACACTGTGCCACAGTGCTTAATTGGAGGTTCACACATCACTTAGCAATCTATCAGGGTCTTGGTGGTTTTATTGATAAATGTTTGTTATGTGTGTGTGTGTGTGTATGTGTGTGTGGTGCGGGGTGTGGTTGGTCTGTAAGATACATGCTCAAAAGTGTTAATGTTGTTTGGGAGTTGTGGAGGTGGGAGAGGTCTCAGATACTTCTAGTATTATATTATTGATTTAGTTATACTAAGTTATATATTGGTTCAGCTCCTTATGTAATTATTGTTCTTAGCTTGTCCACCGTGATTTGGCAGCACGAAATGTTCTGGTTGCTGAAGGACGTAAGATGAAGATCTCAGACTTTGGCCTCTCCAGAGATGTGTATGAGGAAGACTCTTACGTAAAGAGAAGCAAGGTATAATGCCCACTCTTCTCTGCCCTAATGTGATGCTCACGACCTGCCTTTGCTTCTGAAATTATTTGTGCTAAAGACACTGCAGACTATGTATTCCTAAAATTGCATGGATCCAAATTGATCATAAATTGTGCAGTCTGTTGGAGGTAGTGTTGATGGCCAAATAGTCTTTTCTTAATCCATACTTTCCTATAGTCAGCAAATAATGTTTCTGTGTTCCACAGGGTCGAATTCCTGTCAAGTGGATGGCAATCGAATCACTGTTTGATCACATCTATACCACCCAGAGTGATGTGTAAGTGCCATGTTGTGCGCATTAATTTTATGAGTTTGGGACATGAGCCTACATTCGCTAGAAAATCATTCCCATTGCTAGAAACTTGATCTTTGTATTTTAGATTTACATTACATTGGCAGCACTAAGCAATTTCTCTTTGCCCGCACTATTCAGGTGGTCATTTGGCATTCTTCTTTGGGAGACAGTGACATTGGGTGGAAACCCATATCCTGGCATTGCTCCTGAACGCCTCTTCAACCTCTTAAAGACAGGATATCGGATGGAGCGACCAGAAAATTGCAGTGAGGAAATGTAAGATCCTATAAAATAAACTAAAATAAGCACTCTGAAATCAGATCTGTAGTGAGGAATCTGTTCTATAGGTCACCAAGACTAGTTTCAGATAATATATCATCTACATATGAGGAAAACACTTTTATTACATTGGGCTGGATTGTGTTAGCTAAGCGGCTGGTAAATAGTACTTTAGACTGAATCATGAATTGCAGGAACTGCCAACACTAAATAATTTCATGCAGAAAGAACAGGTCAGTTGCAGACCCAGATACATCTGTTTTGAAAACTGTCTAATTCTGCTTTACTCAGGTAAAACCACTGTTAAAAATGAGCTGTAAAATAATCATTAATTATTTTAATTAATCAATCCCACTGTAATCCTCTTGCCGCTCAGGTACAACTTGATGCTGCGATGTTGGAAACAAGAGCCAGATAAACGACCTACCTTTGCAGAAATCAGCAAAGAGCTGGAGAAAATGATGGTGAAGAGTCGAGTAAGTAGAATCCATCTGTTTAATGTAGGGTCAACACTTTTAGATCTTGTATCAAAATGAGAAAACAACATCTAACCAGACCCAGGTTGGACATTATCCGGGATCATGACTGATCCCTCCCACAGGTTCATAGCAAAAATAAATGATTCTTCTAGTTAACATAACATAGCTCCTTTCAGTTTAGACTTTATCATTAGGCAGGAAACATTCTTAACTTTCCCAATTCTTCAAGTCTTCAAGCAAAGCTTGGTGCTGCCAAACCTGCCAGTGAATCATGTCCAGATATTGCCAGGGAGGTGGTTGAGGCCAATGGTTCATTTAAAAAGCAGCTTGATGGGTGCTCGGTTCATGTAGGTGTTCTGGAAGGATGGGATTAAATGGGCCAATTCTTCTTCTGAACTGATCTTGTGATCACACATGCATATGGTTTCTCCACAATCCAGTCCTGAGGCCTGATACACTCTAAAAATACTGAAATGTCTCTTGGTATGTCCGTCTCACCCTGAATTCTCTTTTGCCTGTGTAAACATGTGTGTCTATATATAAATATGCATAATTACGCAGACACACACACATGCATACATTTGTTCTTTACATTTATAAAGATGTGAAGGAGATAATTAGTTTTAAGTTTTAATTCTGACCCTAGATAACTTCTTTGTGCATTTCCAGCAATGTCTGACTTTTGATTTGTATTATCATCAGTTTGCTTCTATGCTTGCTGATCGCTAGAATTCCCCCAATTTTCCTGATCTTCTCTTACCCTACTCCTCGATTCACCCTTTCCTTTCAGCAAACTAATGCTTGCTGTGCATCCCCTGCCCTATCCGCTCCTTTATTGGGTCTGAGCCTTCATCGGATACTATACCTTAACCTCTGGAACTCCCTCTCTCTGCCCCTCCAGCTTGCCCTCTATATCCATCTTCAAGTCGCACCTTAAAATCTACCTCTTTGACCGCACTATTGTCACCTTGCCTTTACCCTTTCTCCCTCCTCCCTCTCCGTAGCTGAGTGTCCGACCCTGAGTTTGTAAAGTGCTCCGAGACATTATCCTACATGAAGGGTTCTATATAAATGCAAGTCGTCGTTGTTATTCAGTGAAGCAAACAATTGCAAATGAATGTCTCCTCTTACTTAGGACTACCTGGATCTGGCAGCCTCCACACCATCAGACTCTCTGCTGTATGACGATGGGCTGGCTGAAGAAGAGACGCCACTGGTAGACTGTAATAATGCTCCCCTCCCTCGGTCCCTCCCCTCCACATGGATTGAAAACAAACTCTACGGTAGAATTTCACATGCATTTACTAGATTCTAAACTCATTTTCAGATGTACTGCTGCATCCGGTGGCCCTGTTTACACAGAGCCCTTCTGAGATTTGGATTGAGTCAGGAACCGAAGACTGACCCAAATGAACAAATACTCGTTCAAACATTGGATTTCTTTAATTCGGATACAATGCATGCGTTCATTGCCTTCTCTCCCCCTCCCTTATTGGGGAAGCCTGTACACGACAGCCATGTGGCCTATGGAAAGACAGGCTTATATTTAGGTTACAAAATAAGTCACCTATACATTTTCTCTATAGTTACTGTAAAGCGCCAGGCACATGTAAGAGTCTTTTAGGAGGCTATAAGAGTGTGGCCACTTTACTGAATTTGCCTATAGCTTGTCTTGCCACATATCTTTATAGATTGTATACTGTATAAAATTTCATGGTGATTACCTGTAGCTTATTGCTCAACAAACCTACAGTAATCAGGTCCTTTTGTGTAAATGCCATCGTGCATCAGGGGCATGGGGCATGCTGGCAATTAGCACCCACATCGGTAGCAATTGGTGGCACAAAAGATAACCAAATATGGAATAATACCTCTTCCCATAAAAATAAATGTATATAAAATGTACATGAAATGGTACGCATTAAACAACAGGTACCAAAGAGTTAATTCAAGGCACTATTTTAACTTTAGAGTTCAGATAATAGTAGGCACCATTTGAGCCCTTCAATGATATTCTCCCCTTGTGATCTCCTAATCATTCCCAGAGATCTATTGTCTCTAATTGTACAATGAGAATGGAAGAGATTTCAAAGTGTAGATTTGCACATGTAACCCCCTTTGCCTAATGAGGATGTATTATATAAATTAAACACAGAGTTCAGCTGGGGCTCTTAGGCAGTCAGGCTTCTTCTTGCTTGTGATTTTCACAGAATGCAATTCATTCCTAAACAGTTTTTAAAGTTTGCAATAATTCTGTTTGGAATATAGATTCCACCCTCATTATAAGTCAATTGAATTGTATGATTCTCATGGTCCAATATTCATTAGAATCATACAGTATTATGGCATAGTAGGCCATTCAGACATTCCTGCCTGTGTGGGCTTTCTGAAAGAGGTACTTGTATATCATAGGTATCTATAGATCGTCCTACTCTATCGTTTGCCCCACACCATTTTATAGTTTTCCTTTACTTAATTATTTGTCTTTTTTTCCTTTAAAAATTATTATGCACATTACTTCAACCACCATTTTTAGTAACAAATTCCATGTCCTAATAACCTTCTGTGTGAATACATAAAAACATCCACTATCCTCTCAAGTTTTTTTTGGTAATGATCTTAAATTTATTGCCTCTGGTTATTAAATCTGAAACCAGCAAAATATTGTTTCCCTGTTGTCCTTATCAAAACTCCACACAATTTTGAACACACTCAGATCTGATTACAACAGTATATTTATGATATATTCTGCCTGCATTACAGTCTCCATTTAAGAAGCTATCAGTATTATACCTCTTTTCCCCCTCCCCCATTTTATGAAGTTCTGATAACACGAACAAGTAAATCATTATTCTCTGTGATCTTGGAACCTGCATATATGTTTATCAGTACTTGCTGTGTGCATGACCAAAGAGTTAATATTTACTCCAATTCAGTTCATTTTGTAGACCCAGATTTTTTGGAGGGTCTCGCGCCACGTTACCAAACTCTCACAGAGTAGCAGATATTGTTACGCAGACCAGAAATTTAAAGATTAACCAACATAATATTAAAAACTAAGAAGGTTTTACCATGTTATGTCTCAGAACCAAAGAGAAAGTCCTTAACAGCTCTATCCCTTGTGTCTTTCATATATACACATACGTACATTATACATTCGCCTACAAATACAAGGTTACTACAATTCACAGTAAATTGCTGTGAAGAGCTTTGAAATATCTTGAAGACATGATAAGATGCTATATCAGCTGCAAGCATTATAAAGTTCAGCTATGCTCCTGTCTGTAATACACCTAACCTATGTTCATACCTTATAATTACTGTACAGTTAGTGTCTATTTGATGCAATTTTCAAAACAAATTGATACTAAAAGTGCAGTACGAGTTGGGCAATGTCAATGGCACCAAGTCAACTTCAAGCTCTGATTTTAAAAGCACACTGTGGTGATGGTTTCAGGAATCTAATTCTTGGCTCCAGTGAAAATCGAGCTTGTATTGTAACTGATTGTAAAGTAACTTTTACATTTTTACAAAAAAGTCCACCATTTTTTGTACTGTGCTTGGGATTAGTTTCATACGTTCAGAACTCTCCTCAATTACAGCCATTGCCTTTTCAGAGTGTGAACAAAAAGTGCTGTGTTCCACTCCGAATCGCTCTACCTCTAGAACTGATAACTAATTGATCCAGTGTAATTAATCCAGCATTAAGGTTTCAGTTATAACACAGCCTCCAAGATTTACTCATTACAAGGCTCCCAGTTGTAACAACATTTCTGTTTAACGGGCAAAATATGAGCAAAGTATCCCATCCCAAATTCTAAGAAACCTCAGGGTCAAAATAAAATTATAAATTTCTTTCTTGCAGTGATTATCTCAATCTAGTTACAGCGCAACTAACCCTTCACCCACAACATGAATCTCATTCACAATTCTTGGCTCACAAAGACCCTGTCATGGTGAAGTGAGAGTCGAGTCCCGAGATGAAGATCCAGTGCCTGAGGGCAAGTTATAATGAGGGTGGAGTGGAGCAGTCTTTGGAGATCAGGAATGACCACAGTCTTGTTGTATGGAGTATAGTGATCACTCCAGTGGCCTTATCTGTCTGCCCTTCATCTCCCTGTGTTTGCTAGTCATAGTGCCCTTGCCCTTCTTCCCTTCCCAAAAGAGAGAATGCGAGATGGCGTTTGTCCCTTCTTCCACCAAAGCGCATGTACAAAGACACAAATTCCAATCTGACTTTAAACACACTCTGCCGTGTAAGTAGAGGGAGAACATCGGAACTGCAGCAGTTGATTTTAGGTAACTTTTCTTTCATTTAAATTTTCTTTCTTTTTCCTTTAACGAAAGGAAGTTTCTGCCCATTAACCGAGGGCCTTGTGTTGATACGTGCAGTGAAACCGATAGATATGGTATGTTTGGTGAGAATAACTGTCAGCACCTGAACTTTTTTGTTGTGGTTCCCCTGTGCAGAAAAAATTATTTGTTTTCGTTTTTAGGCATCTCGTATCCCAGCTGGCCTGAAGACAACCCCATTCCCATAACAAGATTCGATGGAACTAACTCTGTCTTTACAAGATATGCAAATGATAGTGTTTATGCAAACTGGATGGTGTCACCTTCAACAGCAAAATTTGTGGAACACTATGATAGTTAAAAACCAAAGCGACAGCAAAACCCATAACCCACAACCCGCCCCCACCCCCACAGAACCTTTATACAGGGCCATTGAGCTAAACAGAAAGGAAGTGTGGATCGAGGAGTTTGGATGAGATGTGAGAATTGGTATTAGGGAATGGGACAAGGTGAGGTACTTCTGAAGTTACATTCAGTTACTTTCCTCAGAAAGGTTGTTCCTTCATCTTTAAACCTTTTGCCATAATATTACGGAAACTGCTTATATCTCCTGCTCCAGTCATTGTCAGGTATTATTCTCTTCTCCACCCCTCCCCTAGGCAGCCTGCAGATAGGGTCTATTTCAGGATTAGGGAGTTTTACGCTTGAGTAGGACAAAGGTGAAAAGCAGAGCCATTCAGTAGCCTAACGGCCTCCCGATGACTAGGAGGTGTGTTAGTTAACCCTGGGAGGTTGCCTGAAAGAAATGTGATAAGAAAACCAGTGAAAATGTGTAATAGTCTTTAAAAATAAAATGACCTTTGTCCCCTCCCTAATTCTTGAGGATGAACCAATTAGATTTTTAGAATGATTTGTGTTTTAACAAACCAAAAATAATTTACCAATTTACCAGCTACCTCATACCGACTGTTACCTGAAAGCAATGCAGTAGTACATGGCTAAATACTTATCACTGTGTTACTGCAGCTCATGAACCCTTTTAATGTTTGTTGAGGTACAAAGATCTATAGGTTGGTGGTTGGGTTGGGGTGGGTGGGTGGGGGGGAGGAAATTCTATCACATGAGAATGGATAAATCTCTGCCAATAAACTCCACGTTTTGGAATCTATCATTGCCTCAGTGCCAACCCTTGTAATGTCCTCTTGTGAAGTAAGTCACTGTTTTAAAATCTGAAAACCTACTCGCCCTGTTTTCCTAGGGTCTGAACGTTCAGTTAGGTGACAAACAAATCCTCCGACACCTTATTCTACGTGAAGCGTGTTACATTAATGTAAATTGTCATTGCTGTATGGTGACTTAATTTAATCAAAGGTGAAATGACTATCGGAATCTCATGGAGAAGTCCCCTGACATGAGGAAAGTAAAAGGCAGCAATTGTTTAAAAAATAATAATTTCTCAGGATTTTCTTCAAGGTGCTTGCTGAAGCAAACCTACCTTCTTCCGCTCTGCACCCAGCTGTGCTGAGTTTACAATGTTTTATTTCACTAGGTGCTATTACCTGGCGTGTTGTGAGACATGCACAGAGTAGTGTTCCACAAGACTCTGCTTAGCCTCCTCAAGGTGTAGGTAGAACACATGCTGCCAATCAAGGCTTAAAGGCGCATCAGACTCTGATGTATCAAGCTCAGTAGATACTGAAAGATACTTTAATTCAGAATGATCCACCCACCAGAGTGTTAAGCACAACAGAATCCTACTGAGTTTAACATGAAAGTTCTGCAAAAAAAACCTGCCCTTGGACTTGTCTAATATCCCACTTGTGTTGTAGATTAAAATCGAGTTGGATTCATTAATCTAAACCCTGGTGTTCTGTCCCCTAATCCTATCTACAGCAGGAAACCCTGTGTTATTCTAAAAATGGGATTGGTTCTGCCTCACTTTTTTAAAAAAAGGGTGAGAATGTTCTTTCTGCTGCTCAGAGTCCATGTGAAAGCTTTGTGTAATTGTACAGAATTATGTCAGCAAGTGATTGATGTTTACAGTAACCAATGGAGACTTAAATCCAGCAGCCCCAGGAATAAAATGTTTTGTGAAGCTGTTTCAATTAAATTGATTAGAAGCAGGAAAGCCAAAAATATGCGGTCTGTAATAAAAGAAAATAAATACATTTAAAGATCTGGAAATAGCATTGTGAGGGTGCCCACTGCCTTTGTAAAAAGATACGTGAGATGCTTCTAAGTGATGAGGAAAACAAAACACTTCTTTCTCATCACCTTTTGGGAGTTTTTATTGGACAGTGGATGAAGGTTTACCAAGTTGTTGTTCACAGCACAGCAATGCCATCCGCTGGCAAGTGCAAGGGACTACAACAACCCAATGCAGGAGGTTGTTTTCATACCACAAAAGACTACACTTGGCCATTGCGTGAGGGCAGGAGCAGGCTTGGGTGTGTTGTACCTTCCTCCCTTTTACATTTGGAGTCAAGTAGACTTTCAGCGCTCACTGCTCAGGCTTATATGTCAAGTATGGCCACTTCAGTGAAAGGTGCCAGTGCCTTTAGAGCCGTAACCCCAGCAATAGTCACTGCCTTTAGAAGAGAAGGGTAGACAATTGAAGTGCGAAATAGTTATAAGTATAATTAAGAGAAAGAAGGAAATGCTCCTCATAATTAAAGTTGCCATTTTTTTGTTAATTCTGTCAAGAATGCAATTCCAATATTAGCATATTTGAGTTTAAATAAAATACATGACGTTTTAATATATTTTTGAAAAGTACAGTATGATTATTTACAGATGATTACATTTATTTTAAGGTAGGTTTTATCCTTTGAGAACTCAAATATCCTCACCAAATATCATAAATTAATTTCTGAGATTATTGGGTGGAACCTGACCTAATCTGCATTTTATTTTATTGCGATGTTAGGAGCTTTGAGAATGATCTTAATAACATGCTTTTAGAAATAAATGTGTTATAAAGCAATGTGAAGTTATATAATGCAAAACTTGTTAAAGCCAAAGGGAAAACAATGCCACAGAAAGTCAAATTGATTTTGAAACTCAATTGCTAAGCACCAAGCATCAGCTCAGCCCCAAGGAGATCACACTTAGCTTCTCTGCTTCCACCTCCCACCCCCCCACCAGATGATTTCCCCTCATCGGTTTGCTTTCAAAATAGACGTTAAATAAAATGTTGCAATATTTCTTGCGGACAGTGGTTGTGGTGGTGCTCTGGGTGCTGTTACATTTCCTTCTCCAAAAGCTTCTCGCAATCTCTTTATTTGCCCTCCCTCTGGTAAGTCTGTTTTTTATTCCTTTAATTTTTTTTTGGATTGTTTTCATCCTTAAAATCATTCTCCACATTACCCTGTTGTGTCATAGATCTGCCCACTCCAATGGGAGGAGGGGATGATTGTATCATATCTTTTTTTTGTCTGTCTTCTTACTGGATCACAGACGCTGACCACCTTAATACCATTATTCCCAGATAAAACCAATCATTCTCTTTGTGACTGTTTGTGGGATACTGCTGTGCACAAATTGCCAATCGCCTTCTCCCACAAAACAGTCACTACACTTTACACTATATCCTGTGAAGCGCTTTGAGACATCCTCCTGATGTGAAAGGTGCTATACCAAATGTAAGGATTATTATTATTAAAAAAGACTTGGTCCAAAGTACATGGCCATCCTTCTTTTACTAGAATCACAGGCTCCACTTAGTGTAAAAAGGTTGCATTTGCGGAACATAAAAGGAAAAAAAAATTAAAAAGTACCTCAAATAGCAAGTTTGAATGAATCTGTACAAATTATATGCTCACTAAATCCTTACAGAACGTAAAAATCAAAATTCACAACTTTTCTGTGCTTTTTCCCTCGTGACTGAGTATTTGTATACAGGATCTTAACAATTTGATTATTTTGAGTAAACCTTTATTGCTGTCTTCGTATCCTTTCCCTCCCCACCCCCACACACACACATTGTTTGTGAAAGGTAGCCAGACGAGCAGTAGTATCTTACTAGGAAACTTTTGGTTCCTGAGCTTATAATGGGAATTCTCATAGTAAGGATGGACAAAAACAGTTTGCATGTGTAGTGGTGGCCCTGTTCCTTTGTCTGTCTCAGAACAGCAACCAAACAACTTACAGAGCAAATTGACAGACCACACCAGGTTTTCCAGATGAGAACCCTCACTTCACAAAATCAGTTTTCTTTCCAAAGTTGCCTTCTCTGTGGGACATCATATGATCCCGTTGATTCTACTGTGCTTGTAATCTTTCTCATATATCCATTATTCCAGAATGCATTATACATTGTGTGTCACACATGGTGTGTCTACAGTCATTCCTCTGGCTGATCTATCCCCTTTTTCTGATGCTGTGATATAATCCCAGTGTTTTGTGTGTGTATGTGTGTGTGTGTATATAATTACTACTGTAAATACAGGCTATTTCAAAGCAAACCTATAGTTTTGGCCTTCCTTGCTTGTTCTTTTTAAATAGTGATTCCTGTTGTAAAGTCATTGGTGTTTGATTCAGAGAGAATGAATTAGGCAGTATTTTTTTAAATGTGTAAAAAAAAGGAAAATCTTATCTGAGAAATGCCATCATATTATGTTAATTAGATCCAATTTATTAATTTTTAAATGAACTATTTAAACTGAGTATTTCAGTGTTTATTCAAGTGTAATATTATTTCCGCATTGGTCATGTAGTTGAAGCAGGCGCGATATTGATGAACTGTTATGCAATAATAATGTATTACGGATGTAAATGGTTTTGCATAAGAATAAAAGGTTACTCTCACACTCTAAGGTCTTTTGCTTCAAATTATTAAGAAGTTAGTTGTTAAACCCATTGAAAACAGGAGTTGACGTGTTGTTCACATTGACAAGGTGTCGGGCGGCTGGTCTGTGTCCCTTCTGAAGTTCTGTGGTGAATTAATCTTCTTGAAGTATAATTTCGATTTTAAAAAAATCCATTTTGAATTGCCACATTGGTATTGTAATGCACCAAAAGAACAAAGGAATAAAAAACACATAACTCTAAAGAGAATAAAAAGATCTCGGAATTTAAGATGTACAGATGTCCACAAATACTTATCTCCAAGTTTAGCAGCTTCTATTCCTAAGGATGTCACAGGGTGGTGGAATAAGCACAGAACACTCAAGGTTTACGGAGGAGACGTTCAGAACAGATGAGCACTGATCTTCACTCCACGTTATGTGTGTTCCTGCTACACTTTCTCTTATGTTCTGACTGTTTGTGGGACGGGCGTGGATGTACACAAATCACCTGCCACTTTCACCTACAAAGTACATGGTCATTACACTTTACAGTATATATTCTGTGAAGCAATTTGAGATGTTGTAGCAAATGGAAAGATGATGATTATTATGTGGATTCCTGGCTCACTCAGTAATGCCGTAGCTATAAATAATTCAGTTTATTTTTAAATC